TCCTGTACTTGGCCGCCAGAGGTCTAGGTGTACAGTATAGTAACGGTGATCACTGCTGTGCTGAAGAGGGTCTTGGTCGTGTACTGGCAACTGGTAAGGTCTTGAATTTATGCTGGCGGCACTTCAGGCTGTACTGGCGAGTTCCCTGGACGTGTACTGGTGAGGTTCCAGACACTGTACTGGTGAGATTCCAAACACTACTGGTGAGATTCCAGACACTGTACTGGCGTGATTCCAGACACTGTACTGGTGAGGTTCCAAACACTGTATTGGCGAGGTTCCAGACACTGTACTGGCGAGGTTCCAGACACTGTACTGGCGAGGTTCTAAAGGGTTTTCTGGCAAAGGTAAGGGTGTTGGGGTCGGTGTTGGAGGGAATTGGAGTGTGTTTGAGGGAGAACTGGAAGGGGTGTTGAGTGTTGGAGTGTGTTTGAAGGCGTATTGGAGTGTGTTTGAGTGAGCGTTGGCGTGCGTTTGAGGGAGTGCTGGAAGGGGTGTTGGAGGGGGAGCGTTGGGGTGTGTTTGAAGGAGTTTTGGAGGGGGAAGGTGGGTGTTGGAGGGTGGCGTGATAGCGTGTCTTGTTGTGGTCGTCATAGGTGATACAGTGACGATAAAAATGTTTCGCAGGAATATTTTGGCGCTAAACGGTGGACAACAAAGAACAGGAAGCGGCGGCGTTCTTTTACCGGCGTACGTGCCATAGAACGTACACACACACACACACACGCACACACATACGTACTTACATACATACTTACTCACCAGGTCTAGGATATTAGTATCACAATCAGTCCTTTTGAGGGATTATCTTGTCTCTTGAACCCAACGACTCCTCACCCTCCCCTCCACGACTCCTCACCTCCACGACCCTCACCCTCCCTCACGACTCCACACCTCCCCTCCACGACTCCTCACCTCCCTCCCCTACTCCTCACCTCCCTCCACGACCCCTCACCCTCCCCCTACGACCCCTCACCCTTCCCTCCACGACCCTCACCCTCCCCTCCACGACCCCTCACCCTCCCTCCACGACCCCTCACCTCCCCTCACGACCCTCACCCTCCCCGACACCCTCCCCTCCACGACTCCTCACCCTCACCCTCACACGTTCTGTAGATCACATGCTTCCCGGATCACAAGTTTCACGGATCACAAGCTTCCAGGGATCATGGAAGAATCACATGCTTCCCGATCACAAGTTTCACGGATCGGCTTCCAGAATCACTTCCCGGATCACAAGTTTCACGGATCTCTTCCAGAATCACATGCTTCCCGGATCACAAGTTTCACGGATCACAAGCTTCCAGAATCACATGCTTCCCGGATCATGCATCAAGTTTCACGGATCTCTTCCAGAATCACATGCTTCCCGGATCACGGATCACAAGCTTCCAGAATCGCTTCCGGATTGCAAGCTTCCCGGATCACAAGTTTCACGGATCATCTTCCAGAATTACATGCTTACCGGATCACAAGCTTCAGAATCACATGCTTCCCGGGATCACAAGGTTCACAAGCTTCCCGGATCACATGTTTCACGGATCGCAAGCTTCACGGGTCGCAAGCTTCACGGATCACAAGCTTCACGGATCGCAAGCTCTCTGGAACACAAGCTTCTCGCATCACAAGCTCTCTGGATCACAAGCTTTACGGATCACAAGCTTCACGGATTGCACGCTTTTCGGATTGCAAGCTTCACCGTTCACAAGCTTCCAGGAACACAAGCTTCCAGGATCACAAGCTTCCCGGGTCTCAAGCTCTCTGGATCACAAGCTGTCTGGATCACAAGCTTCCCGGATCACAAGATTCACGGATTGCACGCTTTTCGTATTGCAAGCTTCACCATTCACAAACTTCTTGGAACACAAGCTTCTCCGGATCACAAGCTTCCCGGATTACTAGCTTCACCGATCACAAGCTCCCCGGATCACAAGCTTCCCGGATCTCAAGCTCTCTGGATCACAAGCTTCCCGGATCTAAAGTTCTCCGGATGATAAGCTCTGGATCTCAAGTTCTCCGATCACAAGCTTCCTGGATCTCAAGCTTCACCGATCACAAGCTTTCTGATCTCAAGTTCTCCGGATCATGCTTCCCGGATCACTAGCCTCCCGGATCACAAGTTTCCCGGATCACAAGCTTCCCGGATTTCCCGGATCTCAAGCCTCCCGGATTTCAAGCTCTCCGTATCACAAGCTTCCCCGGATCACAAGTCTCCCGGATCTCAAGCTTCCCGGATCACAAGCTTCCTGGATCACAAGCTTCCCGGATCTCACGCCTCCCGGATCTCAAGCTTCCCGGATAACAAGCTTCCCTGGATCACAAGCTTCCCGGATCTCACGCCTCCCGGATCTCAAGCTTCCCGGATAACAAGCTTCCCTGGATCACAAGCTTCCCGGATCACAAGATGAACCAGTTTGTACCGTGTTGCGGGAGTCGAGTTTTTCTGAGGGAAATCAAGAGTTGATTAACCGGACCATTTTTTTTATTCCTCTCTTAATATATTGTTTTGTGTCGTCCCTCCTGCACCTTCTTCACCGTCTCCGTGGTCTGTGCTTCGTTGAACGTCGCTAGAACTAACCTAACCTAACATTGCTTAACGTAACCTAACTTTACATCTGCCTGTGCTTCGTTAAACGTAGCTGGAACTAACCTAACCCAACATTGCTTAACGTAACTTTAACTCCTATGTACTCCGTTAAACGTTTTTTTTTTTTAACTAACTTAATGGATTGCTATATACTTCGTTAAACGTCGTTGGTGTTCGTTATTATTACCAAAGCTCATTGAAGTTCATTTATTTACTGAAAGTCGTTGGGATTCCTCACATTAAGCGCTTGGAACTGTTTGAACTCCTTGGGCAGTGAGTCATTATCTCGGGTCAAACTCTTCGCTTGCTACCTGTTTGTTCCTGGTTCGTTAATGTGATTCGTTGATTATCGTTGTATTTCTTTATTTGTCGGTGATTTTTTCGTGAATTAGTTTGAGTCACTGAAACATTTAATGAAACACTTTGAATCAATAGACTCCTTTTATTTACCAATTTATTAATATTTCTCTACTTATTTTTTTTCAATAAACCTTTTTCCTACGTTGATTGTTCCATAGGTTATCCCTGACCTTCGTCGAATGTCGTTAAACTAAGAAAATATAATGGGTTCGAATCTTCAACTCCCGGTACAATGAATCCCAAAGCTTTATTTCGTGTCTGTATTTCCACTTTATGTGTATCTGTGTGTATTATATCCTTGTGTACATTATGTCTGTGTACTTTCACCCATTATAGTACATTCATTCTATCATCGGCAATTATTAATCATCGTATATTCCTGAAGATCTTTAAACCTTACGAAACAAAATCAACTGCTTCGAACATTTCAACTCAGATGGCCGCGAGGTTTAATGAAACATTTACCTGATCTAATTTGATAATTGAACGAGTCAAGGTTCACACTTTGTTTAATGCCGTTGAACTTCATATTGTTGCCAGAATTCGTTAGACAATTATAATGGGACGCTGAAAGTAATTGAACTTCCTGAGTTGTGGATGTCTTAAGGTTAATGAGCTGTTTATTGTGTGTGTGTGTTTGTTTCTTTATTGTGTATATTTGTTTGTTTGTTTGTGTATGTGTGTAGACTGTTGAGGGTGTGGTTGGTTGGAACACACAAACTGAACGCATATTATGACCGTGTAATCCAAGGGTCGTGCCTCCCATTATACTAGACCTGGCTCGCCCTCCTCACCTCCTCTATACCAGCCCTGCCTCGCCCTCCTCACCTCTCTATACCAGCTTCACCTGCCATCTCCCACCTCCCTCTACCCTTCCCTACCTCCGCCTCCTCACCTCCCTCCTGCAAACCTGGCTCCCCTTCCCCTCCTCACCTCCTCCTACCAGACCTGCCTCCTTCTCACCTCCTCTACCCAGCCCTACCTCGCCCTCTCCCCACCTCCCCTCTACTACCCCAGCCCTGCCTCACCCACTCCTCACCTCCTCCCCTTGAGCCTGCCTCTCCTCCTCTCCTCCTCTGCCACCAGACCTGCCTCGCCTCCTCTCCTGCCCAGCCTGCCTCCTCCCTCTCTGCCCAGCCTGCCTAGCCCTCCTCACCTCCTCCTGCAGGCCACCCTTATCCTCCCTGCCTCCTCTGCAACCAGCCCCTGCCTCGCCCTCTCTCCTCTCTGGGCCCACGCCCTCCTCCCCTCCCCTCTATCTGCTTCTCGCCTCCTCTCCTCTCTGAACCTTGGTTGGGTTAAGTTTGGGCCAATTTTTTTTATCTATATATGGTATTTTGTTGAGTATGTTACCTTACCTCCCTCCCCACATCCCCTCTCTTCTTCTCCCTTCTTCCCCTTCCTCTGTCTTTTTTCTTATGTATCTTATTCCTTTTTCTTTCTTGTCGTCTTTTTCACTTTTCATTTCATCTCCTCTCTTCTCCTTCTCTTTTCCTCCTTTTCCTCCTTTTTCTCCCCTCCTCTTGTCTCCTCTCTCTTCCTCCCCTCCTCTTCTCTCCTCCCCCTCCTCTTCTCCCCTCCACCTCCTCTTCTCCCCTCCTCCTCCTCCTCCTCCTCCCCGACCTCCTTCCTTCCTCCCCTTTAGATGATTAAATAACACAACAAAACAAGTGATTACCTGTGACCCCATTAATGAACCATCACCTGTCCGGGGGTGTTCCTTTTATTACCTGTTGACCTAGACCTGGCGTTGACGTCATCCTCATCTCTACCTGTACTTGTTATCCTGCCTTGTGGACAGGACAGTGGACATGTGGAAGTTGTTACCCCTGTGTAGATATGTTACTCTATACATTGTTGATCTTATGTAGGTTAAGGCATCACCTATATGATACTGCTACTAAGTGGGAATTACTGTACAAAGGTTTTAGGTGATTCATAGTATTGTAAGGAGAGCCACCAGGACTATCACACGTAATTATACATAAATGTTTAACTTTACGAATTAATTAACAGGATCTGGATTTAAGTTTGTGTTTTTGTTGTGTTGCAGGTGTGGGTGGCGAGTGTGGCATGAAGGGGTGCACGAAGGCCTACGTGACAGGGATGGCCGCTGGGGTGGAGGAGGGGGCTACTACAGCCTACTGCTCCCTGATGCACCGCTACAAGCAGTGTACGGACGACCTCAGCAGCAACAAATGTCGGGGAGACCTTCAGTACCACAGCACCCACAGGATGATCTCCTCCGTCATGGGCCGCTTTAACTGTACTCACATCCTAGCTGAGGACCCCCAGCACCAGGTCTTACCCCAAAGCCCCAGCGTGGCCCCTACTGACGCCCACGACGAGTGTCAGTACCCCGTGAGCTCCACCCCCGCCCCTGCCCACTGTGGACTCTTCGGCGACCCCCACCTCAAGACTTTCAACGACTCGTACATGACGTGTGGGGTGGTGGGGGCGTGGCCACTCCTCAACACCCCTTACCTGGCCATACAGGTGACGAACGAGCCCGTGGGTCCCGCCAACCACGCCACCGCCACCACCAAGGTCAGTACCACGCCCACAGATCATGGTTATGGTCCATGCCCCACCGCCTACACTTCATGCTCATACTCCACAGCCACACCTCTCAGCCACACCTTACACCTTCACACAGCCACACCTTACACCCTCACACAGCCACACATATCCTCACACAACCACACATATCCTCACACAACCACACCTTACACCCTCACACAACCACACCTTACACTCACACAACCACACCTTACACCCTCACACACACCTGTACACCTTACACCCTCACACACCTGTACACCTTACACCCTCACACACACCTGTACACCTCTCTCAACCAGGTAAGTTTCTTCCTGTGTTATATCCCCTTTATCGGAAAAATGGGAGGATAGACAGAGGATGAGTTGTGTCTGTCCGTTTATCCATCCGTCCGTCCATCCGTCAGTTTCATACGCAGTTTCCGCTCGATAATGTCTCACAGCCTCGGGTTCTTGGTCGTGGCTGATGGAGGTATTGGTGGCACTGGTGATGCTATTTACAAAGAGGTTTTAGAAGTAATTGGCTCCTGGTGCACTGTGTGTGTGTGTGTGTGTGTGTGTGTGTGTGTTATGGCGCAGTGGTCGGAGGCGCACTTGAGAATATTAACCTGTCACTTTCCCCTCAAGACTTCCTCCTGTGAACTGACTGGTTGCAAGTAACTCTCGCTTCTGCAGGTAAAGACGGACTGTTGACTGTTGCAGATAACTGTCACTCGACCAGGTGGTGTAATAGGACTGACCGTTGACTGTAATAAGATCTCGCTCAAGACAGCCTAGCGTGTGGGGTGGTGGGGGTGGGTGGTGGAGGGGTGGGGGAGATGAAAGGCAAGACCAGCACACAGAGAGACTCAACACACCATTACCAGTTGAGGATTGTGGCTAATGTGGTAGAGTGAGGAGAGGAGGAGGGAGAAGAGATGGAGGAGGAGAATAATAATAAGAATAAGAAGAAGAGTGGGGTAATGAGGAGGAAGAAGGGGGAGAGGGAGGGAGGAGGTGAATGTGACCAACTAGGACCGTCATTTCCGATACGACTGAACCTGGGTCCCATTTTGTCAACAGTTTTTAGGCTAAACATAATCCAAGAACTTTGTTAATATTAATGATATATAATAATAATAATAAAAATAATAATAATAATAACAATGATAATAATAATAACAATAATAATAATAATAATGTAATGACAATAATGAAAATAATAATAATAATAATAATAATAATAATAATAATAATAATAATAATAATAATAATAATAATAATAATAACCACCAACCAGCCCCCAATAAATCACTTACATTATAAACGAGTTACAAGCGTGATAGATCAGGGTTACGGACTGGACATATTTATGTGATGAATTCTCCCCCTCTTCACTGTGGCTCAGAGAACGCCTGTCTAGGTATGGTAGAGTCTCCCAGCAATCTCTTCGCCATTTTGTCCTTCCTCTGCGTGGCCTAGTTAAAGTGGGGTAGTTAGTGTGGTCTTGAGCCTGCAGGTGGCGCTCAAGTTCCTGTAAGTTGTAAGGTTAAAATTACTCCCCAGCCTTGATAGACCTTCTTAACCTAACCTATACGATTTCAAGCTAACCTAACCTAACCTAACCTAACTTAACCTAACCTAACCTAACTGATTGGTGGTGACCTGAGGCGATGCTGACTTGGTGGCACTGTACAGGTAGTCCCTCTCCACTCCTCTCCCTCCCTCGTGTTCCTCTCTCTCTCTCCATCTCCTTCCCTCTCATCCATCTCCATCCACCTCCCTCTCCACTCCTCTTTGCTTCTCCTTCTCCACCTCCCTCCTTCTCTCCCCACTGCCTGTCTCCCTTCCTTCTCTCACCTTCCTCCTCACCCCATTTCCATCCCTCCTCCACCCTCCCTCCTCCTCCCTCCCTCCCTCCCTCCCTCCCTCAGTGTACCTGGAGTGTGTTGGTGATTGATGACATTATAATATCAGCTGGTTACCTGCTAATTACACCCGCTTGTTGCACCCCTTTGTTTTACTTCCCCTCCCCCCACTACCCTCCTCTCCCTTCCCTTCCCATATTACACTCCTGCCATCCCCTCCCTTCATCCTCTCTCCCCACCTTTCCCCCTTCTCTCCCCCATTTCATTAACCCGCCCCTATTTCCTTGTCATCTCTTCTATCCCCCTTTCCTTTAGCCTACTCTCGTACATCCCTCTTTATCACTATCTCCCTCTCCTCCTTTCACTTTCTCACTTACCCTCCCACTCTTCCCCCTTTCACTCCTTCACCCACTCCTCTCTACCCTCTCACCCTTTCACTCAATCTCTCATTCTCCCCCTCCTCCACCCCCTCCTCCACAACCCCCCCTCCTCCACAACCCCCTCCTCCCAACCCCCCCCTCCTCCCACACCCCCTCCTCCACAACCCCCTCCCTCCACCACCCCCCTCCTCCACAACCCCCTCCTCCCCCCCTCCTCCAACCCCCCCTCCTCCCCCCCCCTCCTCCCAACCCCCTCCTCCACACCCCCTCCCTCCCCCAACCCCTCCTCCCACAACCCCTCCTCCACAACCCCCTCCTCCCCCCTCCTCCACAACCCCCTCCTCCCCCACCCCTCCCCCACCCCTCCTCCACACCCCCTCCTCCCACCCCCTCCTCCCCAACCCCTCCCCACCCCCTCCTCCACCCCCTCCTCCACAACCCCCTCCTCCCCCCCCTCCTCCCCCTCCCTCCCCACCCCCCTCCTCCACAACCCCTCCTCCAACCCCCTCCTCCACAACCCCTCCTCCACCCCCCTCCTCCCCCTCCCCCTCCTCCACCCCTCCTCCACACCCCCCTCCTCCACACCCCCCTCCTCCTACCCCTCTCCCACAACCCCCTCCTCCCCACCCCCTCCTCCACCCCCTCCCCCCCCTCTCCCACCCCCCTCCTCCCCCCCCTCCCACCCCCCTCCTCCCACCCCCTCCTCCCACCCCCCTCCTCCCCACCCCCTCTCCCACCCCCTCCTCCACACCCCCCTCCTCAAGGTTAATGGCCTACCTTAGCCCCTCCCCACCTTCCTTGATTCTCACCTACACTTTCACCCAATTTCCCCCACACACCCCCCCCCCCCCTCCCCACACACTGAGGGCAGGAGAGTGACCTTGGTGGTTTAACCCTCCTCTTTTACAGGATCCAAATTCTCAAAAGTTTTTACGATATGTTTTTTATGTTTCCAGGTAAATAAGGATTGAGAACATACCTCTAGTTACAGTAGAGTCTCCGAGCATTTTATCCGCCATTTTGACCACGGGTTTTGGAGTGTCGTTGGTGAAGTGAGTCAGGTTAATGTGTTCTCGTTGTCTGCTGCTGCTGTCTGTGTTGTGGGAAAATAAATAAATTAAGGTGTCTTGATTTTCCGGGCCACTATCACTACTGCTACTCCCACCACTACCGCCACCTGGATAACCACTACTACAACCACACTACACAACCACCACACTACAGCCACCACCACCACCACCCACACACCATCATCACCCCTACCATCACCCCCCAAACATCACCACCACCACCCCTACTACCCTACGCCCCCTCACCACCACCTCTTCTACCCAGCCCGCCCCCTCACCACCACCTCTTCTACCCGCGCCCCCTCACCACCACCTCTTCTACCCGCCCCCTCACCACCACCTCTTCTACCCAGCCCGCCCCCTCACCACCACCTCTTCTACCCCGCCCCCTCACCACCACCTCTTCCCTGCCCCACCTCCCTCTCCCCCCCTCACCACCACCTCTTCTACCCCCGCCCCTCCCACCACCACCTCTTCTACCCAGCCCGCCCCTCACCACCACCTCTTCTGCCCTGCCCTACCACCTCTTCTACCCCGCCCCTCACCACCTCCTCTTCTACCCCTCCCTTCTTCTACCCCTCGCCCTCACCACCCACCATCACCTCAGGCATTACACACTTAGCCTCCCAAAATTACCTACTGTTCTCGCTTCTACCCTACCTACTTTTTCTCCCATCCGTCATAAACGATAATAAATTAAAATATTCTTAACAAAAACAACAGTAATGATTATTTACACTAACAACAATAGTTCTGATAATATTGACAAAATAACAGCAAAAATAATTATAATAACAACAACAAGAATGATGTCAATAATAAATTAAACAAATTCCTATCGGATACAAACTCAGCCCTTGAACCTGTGCCGTGACTGAGTAAATAGTGTTGTTGTTATGGTAAATTAATGTAGTGGTAAATGTGTATTATTGCTCCAATTGTTACCATGGCAAAACTCGGTCAATTTTGGAGCAATTTACACCAAATGTTGATCAAATCTTTAATTTCTTTTACACACACACACACACCAGTGGACATGGTATTACGAACAACAACGATGGTTCATAATTATTAAGAGAATAATAATTATAACGGTAATAATTATATCATTGGTCATTAAAAGATTATAATAATAATAACAGTATCAACCATCAACTATAATAATAATAATAATGACCACCACACCTAACCAACTTAAGCATGACTTCACCAAACCAACATTAATTGACCCACACACCTGATGATGACTGAGGCAGGTATAATATGGGTGTTTCTACATCATGAGGGCCAGAGAGGTGAAGGAGGGAGGGAGGGGAGAATTAAACCTTAGAATAGATCGTTATACCTAACCTAACTTTCTGTTGATTTCTGTTGGTTTCTGCAGGTTTTTTCGTGGTCTTGTTGCCGTTATTGTTACGTCTTCATCCAGCATAGAAAATCCGAGTTGTTGTCCCCCCATTTGTGCGTGTCATAAAAAACGTCGTAACAGGAGATACCCAGATATTATTCACACGATATGACAGGGAGATGTGGTAAGTTTTTTGTTATTATTATTCGTCCTGGGGGAACCTGTTTTATTTTTTTATTCTTTTTTTATATATACCGAGAGGTTATTTTTAGAGTGGAACCCGTTTGTTTACATTGAACTCTTCTCTGATTGGTTTAGGAACCTGTGTTTTGACGCTGAGCTCGTCGCTGATTGGCTATTAGACATTAGGTCTAGCCACGGATTTAACCAGCCACCAATCAGCGGCGAGGGTTTTCCCACATAAGAACAGGTGGAGGCCGCAGTGAAAATATAGATTTACGTAACTTAATTTGCATACATCTGCATCAGGATTAACGACATGTTTAATAGTGAAGTATGTTTTTTTTGTGTAGGTATTTATTAGTGAGAAAGAAACGTATGTATGATGGAGTCAATGTTTTCAGTGTTTAGTATAGATGTTTAAATATTTATACGGTGGAAAATAAATGTTGATATTGTGTTTAATCGTATAAATAAAAATATTTATTCAAAGTGTTTGTCAATATTTTTTTTAGTAGTTAATTATTCAGTTGTTTTTTACATTAAATTTATATATGTAACTGTTGGTAATTTATGTCCTTAGGAGTATATTTCATTATTTATTGTTTTTCATGAGTGTAGTATTTCACTTGTATTGTACCTGTATATTTAGAACCCATTATTGTGCACTCTTATTATTCACACTTTATTTCACTCTAGCATGTACAGTTTATCCATCACATTATCATACGCTATCATACACTCTTTATCATACACTCTATCATTCACTCTTTATCATACACTCTTATAATGCACACTATCTTGCACTCTTTATCATGCACACACTATGTTGCACTCTTTATCATGCACCCTATCATACACTCTTTATCATGCACTCTTATCATGCAGACTCTATCATACACTCTTTATCATGTACTCTTATCATGCACTCTTATCATGCACACTCTATGTTGCACTCTTTATCATGCACTCTTATCATGCACCTATCATACACTCTTTATCATGCACTCTTCATGCAGACTCTATCATACACTCTTTATCATGCACTCTTATCATGCAGACTCTATCATACACTCTTTATCATGTACTCTTATCATGCACTCTTTATCATGCACACACTATGTTGCACTCTTTATCATGCACTCTTATATGCCCTATCATGTCTCCTTATCATGTCTTATCATGTATCATACTCTTTCTGCACTCATCATGCAGTCCTATCATACACTCTTTATCATATTACTGCTCATTACTCTTTATCATGCACACACTATGTTGCACTTTTTTATCATGCACTCTTATCCACCCTATCATGTACTCTATCATGCACTTTCTTATCTTACTCTATCATACACTCTTTATCATGCACTCTTATCATGCAGACTCTATCATACACTCTTTATCATGTACTCTTATCATGCACTCTTTATCATGCACACACTATGTTGCCTCTTTATCATGCACTCTTATCATGCACTTATCATGTACTCTTATCATGCACTCTTATCATGCACACTCTATCATGCACTCTTTTTGTGGACTTACTCAGCTGAACTTAATGAAGGACATATAGAGAGGTAAAGTGTCCATTATGTGAAACTGACTAGTGGGGGGGAGGGGAGGAGAGGGAGGGAGGAGGAGAGGGAGGAGGGAAGGAGAAGGGGAGGGAACCATTTAATATGCGAGGATGGGAAGGGAGGAGGGAGGAAGAATGATGGAGGGAAGGAGGAGGGAAGGATGGGGTTAGGGAAGTAGAGGACGGATAAAGCAGATGGGAAGAGGAAGGGGAGCTAGGGTAGTCTAATGAGGAGGGAAGGAAGAGGAGATGAGGATTAGAAAGAATAATGGAGGAAAATAAATTGAGAGAAGAGTGAAGGGAGAGAGAGGAGGAAGAAAGGGTTGGGGGATGGAGAGAGAGAGACGAAGGAGGAAAATGATGGGGGTGATGCGAAGGAGAAAAGATAGAGAGAGAGTGAGAGAGAGAGAGAGAGTGTGAAATTTCGTCAAGTCTTTAACTAAACTCTAACACCTGATAGCCAGTGTGAAGGCAGTAATGTGCGAGTGTTCATCACACTTTGATCAATCCATGGCCGCCGGTGTGCCAGGTTGATGTGGTGTGTGAAGGTGCAACAAGTGTCCAACAAACCCTTCACACATACTCACATACACACACATACACACACATACACAGGTAGAAGTGTGCAAGGGTGGGACCAGTGAGGTAGGACACAGGTGGGCTGGTATGGGTGGGTGGTAGGTGAAGGGTGGTGGATGGTGTTGGGTGGGTTTGTTGTATGTGTGTGGGTGGATAATCTGGGTGGGTGGGTGGTGGCGTACAGATGCAGGTAAGGTGGTGTGTGGTCAGAGCACCTGCTGGGCCACTGTACTGCAACTAAGCGACCTCACAGCTCTCTCTCTCTCTCTCTCTCTCTCTCTCTCTCTCTCTCTCTCTCTCCACCTTACCACTCATCCACCTCTCATCCTCCTCCTCCTCATCCTTCTTCCTACCTCCTGTTTCTTCTTTTCATATCTCTCTCTCCCTTTATCCTTTTCTCTCCTCTCTTTTCACCTCCACCGTGTCCTTCCTCCCTCCTTTGCCTCCCTGCTGCACTACACTACTTTCCTCCTTCCTCCTCCTCCTCCTCCTTTCCTCTCCTTCACTGCGCCATTCTCCTCCTCATCCTCTTATTCTTATTCTACCCCCACTGTACTGCAACCTCCTCCCCTCCTCCTCTCCTCCTCCTCTCCTCTCCTCCTCCCTCCTCCTCCTCCGCCGCCTCCTCCTCCTTTCCTCCACCGCCCCCTCCTCCTCCTCCTCCTCCTCCTCCTCCTCCTCCTCCTCTCCTCCTCCTCCTCCTCCTCCTCCTCCTCCTCCTCCTCCTCTCCTCCGCCTCCTCTCAGGTGTGGGGTGGTATTATAGCTCTCCTGCCTTTCTGCCACCTGCCACTTCCTGCTGCCTCTGCCCTTGTGTTACTGCCACATCCCTGCTTTCTCTGCCTTTCTGCTGCCGCGCCCCTCCCTGCAGCCTGCCGCCCCTGCTACCTGCCGCCCCCTCCTGCCTGCTGCCTTTCTGCTACTGTCGCCTCCCCCCTTCTTCTGCTGCCGCCACCCTACCCTCCCTACTGTCCCTTTCTACTATCTGCCACACACTACTGTTACCTGCCTCTCCGCCGACTCTCTTTCTCTACCTGCCGCCATCTACTACCCTCCCTGCTACCTGCCGCCCCTTTCTGCTACGCCTCCCTGCTACCTGCGCCCCTCCTGCTACCACCCTCCTGCCTACCGCCCCTCCCCTGCCTGCACCCTCCTGCTACCTGCCTTCCTCTTTCCACCACGCGCTCTGCTACCTGCCACCCTCCCTGCTACCTGCCGC